AGATGTTAAAATAGTTGAGTTCCATAGAGCATTTCCTTGTACGTATTATATAAGTCCATATACATGAGATACTTTGTCTTTTCCAGTGGTTTTCAGCTTGCATCTGCTAAGGCTGCTCAACATAGACTAGATCGTGGTGTTTGGACTAGTGTACATTTTGGGGATATGAGGCGTGCCTTATCTGGTACGTATTCATTGCAGCTCATTTAATCCCAGTGTCAAGAAGGCAATGTCATATTGAATAGATTACTTTTCTTGATGCTGTTGAACTGATGGTAGCATAAGTTGAGATCTCACCCGGAATGTCATAGGGTTTGCACTATCTAAACTGTGCTTCAATAAGTTCAGGGTCCATTCCAATCCAGCATTTTAAATATTATCCTTAGTATCTGGCCAAAAAAAGTCTTATATTTAGTCATCTTTGCATAGCAGTTTTACGAGTAGTTTTGGAGGCTTGTGCGGTTATTATAAGAGAAAGCACCATTGTGGAAGGTGTTGTTTGTAGGCTGCTTATTTTATAAAGGCTTCTGTCATTTCTACTCTGTCAGAAGGCCTGTGATTTTATTGGTTCAATTTGAAAATTCCATTATATCATCTATATTGAGCTTTTAGTAGTTTCCTCCTGAGTCATGGGGCTGTAATAATTTTGGTTCGTTTGATAGGAAGAGAAACTGACTCGAAATTATCACACTATCTTAAGCATGTGTACATTTGTTTTTTGTGTAAACAAAAAGAGGGCTCTGTTACCAAGATGTTAGGATTATTAATGGGAATTGCAGATAAATTAAAGAGAGCTGCAGAAGAAAAGAAAGGGAAAGATTATGCCTTTTCATTCCTGTCTCTTTTGGAGGCTCCACATCCTTACATACAAAAGGAAAATACATGCTCCAATAGTCTGGTTGTGCCATGTGGCTCACGAAACCCTAACAATATTCTTGTAAGATGATAGACACTAGCTAACAGTCTGCCCTTTGCTACATCTACGCCCCTGAGATATATGCAATTTGAGCTTCATTGGTAGTACTGTATTTAGGATTTTGAGAGAACCTTGAGTCCAAATTTACAGAATGGAGAGAAAATCTTTTGGAATAAATTTACATAGTAAAAAAAAAAGAGGTCTCTAGTTTCTTTTGAGATTTTGTCGTCTGTGTTAATGAAGCTTAGTTATTCAAAACAGAGATAAAAGCACGAATTTAGTAAGTATTTTGGCAAATACTAAACCCTAAACCCTGAGTATTCCCAAGTGTCGTGATTAATTTTGGTTTCTTAAGCTAGATTTAGTTTGTAGAATTAATGTTTTTTCTCTTGGTACTTCTGGTGGATTACTTGACCACTTTACCGTACAGTTATTCTTATGAAATAAAATTTCATCTGTTCGTTCAAAAAAAGGATTCCCAAGTGCTGGCCCTTCACCCGCTTTGATTCCATAAGTTGAGGACCCGCTTGATGGGGATACTTTCTGGCAAATGTTATCCCATGCAAACACCAGGCCAAAATAGAATTATCTCACTTCTTTTTTTGCGCCTCAATATGACCTCGTTCCTCAAGATCTCTAGCCCCAACAGAAAGGAAATCCTTGTACTTGCTCCTTCATTTCATCAAAACTGAAATTTACATAGGAATGTCCCCATATTAACTGAACATTGTTCCTATTGTTACAGCATGTGAACGTCTTATTCTCCTGGAAGCTGATCCAAAGGAATTAAGAGACTACAGCATTCTTCTGTACCATTGTGGATTTTATGAACAATCACTTGAATATTTAAAGTTGTATCAGGACACAAAGGTAAGTTTCCTATGTATGTGTGATAACTTGTGACTTCGATAAGCAAATTAATAAAATATCTTTATTTGGATATGGCAGAGTCGCCCACTACGGAGGCAACCATCTGATTCATTAGCCATTCTTGAGGAAGATGCCGTGGAGAAATTGATGATACGCCTTAACCTAATTTTGATGGAGGATGGTTGGAGCAGGCCGTCATATGCTAGAAATTTTCTTGGTAATAACTCTGAACCATGGTAGTGCTTCATGTAAATTATTGCCGATAGCAGTACAAATCCCAATCAGTAGGAGGTTCATGTAAAGTGGGAAAAGAGGCACTTAATTGAACTTCATCCCAGAAAAGTTTTGTCTGGTTACATGTCTTATCTTGTGTAAATTGATGTATATAACATGTGCTTTTTATTCTCAGTAACAAAATGTTACTTTATTTGTGATTTGAGTAATAGTAGATTATGTGGAATCTTAAAAACAGAAGACTGATCTCTTGTCAGATATGTTGTGAACTTGTGAGATCTTTATTTACATAGGACTGTTCATTTAGACATAATCCTGTTCACATGACTAATGGTTCTGATTCAGTCTAGCAATATCACCTACCAAACTGTTATTTCAACAAGGGGAAAAACATAGCTATAGAGATAGCGTGGTTGCATCAACCCGCGATAGCTGAGTTTTTCTCTTTGAGTATGTATGACTGCAGGTTGGCACGAAACGAAAGTAGTGATAGTAACATCATTTCCATGGGGGATCCACGGCACTAAATTTTTTTGACACAAATTTTCAACCGTTAAATTGAAGTACAATGAATGTGTAAGATTAAACAAATTAATTGTTTTATTCTTAGAATTTCAGACACTCGATGGAGCTTGAACATTCATTCAATCGGGGGTCTGAGATTTCAAGTAACGTAGGTTCTACAATGTCCTGCATATTATGTGATTACAATTGCAGGACAACTGTCAAGAGTCTGGAAATGATAAATAAAAAGAGAAAAACCTTCATTACTTTTTGAAATTTCCCTCACAAACAAACAAAGCAAAACAGACCTCTCCTCAACTGCATATTGACCAAAACATCTAATCCTATCCCTCACTGAATGAAATTGAGCTTATATAACCTTCACAGGGTTTGGGAGCTCTTAATCTGAATTTATAACAGTTTTAGTTTCCAACTTCTTCGAAATTAATACTTCCC